AAAAGAGTAGCCAAAATATTGGCGGTGGGTGGTGATGACTAGCTGCCTTCCCTCTAGTTTTTCACTGCTAAATTAGGAACGGTTAGCGCAGATAGCCTTCGTGTTGCTTTGCGCGAAATTCAAAACAAACAAACAGTCTAAACCTCTTGACATGTACATAATATGATGCCCGTTCTGATAGAGTTATATCGTTTCCATGTTATTTATTTTAATATTTTTGTGTAGCATGTTAGACTACCCCTTTATAAAGGGGTCAGGTGGTCATTATTTAAGGATTTCTATTTTGTTTATCGTTTTCATTTTATTTGCGTGGTCTGATAGACTACTCCCTTCTAAAGGGGTAAGTAGTCATTGTTAACGTTATTTTCCTTATGTAGGCCCCCCGATGGCAGAGCGGTATGTCTGCGGACTTACAACGCTAGAAACTGGGTTTCGATACCCGTGTTGGGCAGAGCACAGATAGCCCTTTGTGCAGCTTTGTGCTTAACTGCAAACAAACAAATAATCCTCATGTAGTTCATTATTAAAGGGTTTTCCAAATATATAATTGTGAACTTCCAAATTAAATTTTTATGTTAAAGGATATTATCATCTATTTCTTTATTAAAGGGTCACTCTATGTATTTCATTGTTAAGTGAATCTAATTATTTTCTTATCTTTAGTGCTGTACTATACATTACGTTTAATTTTAAGTCAAAAACACATGAAGTTTCTGTTATTAAGTTTCATATTAATTTTTAAAATATTGTTAAAGAGTATTTCTGTCAGTTATTGGATCTCATCGTGTATTACATTAATATCGCATTATTTTTTAAATTTTAATTAAAGGGTCTTTTTGTTATTATGCTATGTATTTCCTTGTGTTTTAAATTGTGTTCAAAATGTGTTTTTTTCATTTAATTGAATGTAGTTCTTTGTTAGTTAAAGTGTTGTCCATGCAGTGTGTAGAAAGGAAAGTCTGATGTGCTTCTCGATCATGCCATGAGTTTCAAGTTTATTGAGTTTAAATTCGATTTATTGAGTTTAATTTTAATTGTCAGCTTGAGGTTAAGCCTGAAACATAGATGAGGGTAAATGTGTGATATGTGGTGGTATCATAAGTTTTCTACCATCTTTAGTGACATAGGAATTTTTAAAATGAAAACAATATTTATTATAAAACAGAGAAAAGAAAACTACCTGTACACACGCTTCTACTAGGCTGAGTTTAGTTTCACAGCTTCCTTTCTCTTGGGATGGACTTCCGTCAAACCAGACATGATTATCTTAAATATAAGTCATCACTCTATAGCCTCCTAGTAGAATGAACCAAGAAATTGCAGTTGAATTGAACATGTAAATTCGCTTTCTATGTCCAGTCGACAGCGTCGACCTTTGTTTCTTCACAACATTGGTTGACTGTTACAATTAATCAACGTCATACTTGGCCATCAAATGATATTGCAGTGCCAATCCTTTTAATCCGAATGCTATATATTACTACAATATCCTATTGTGCAAAATAGACATCATTTACTATAGAAAATAAATAACCAAAGCAATTAGAACAAGGCAATCTTAATAACTTTCTGGATCATTTGTTGCCGCTATTACAGTATGGAACGAAATAAGTGAAAAATTTTTAAAATATTATATCGCTAAAGTAGGTAGAAACATATCATATGCCTGGATATCACAATCTTTTAACCTGAAAGCGTAGGTGTTTCCTGGCAGGTTCTACGTTATTTAAGTGCTAATTCACGTATATTCAAGATATACCCATTTGTGTGTGAGGAAAACCATCAAACGAATTGTAGGTGCTTGTAACCTTTAGCACAACATTTCAAAGGAAATTCTCTTTAGAATGGACTATTGTGATTCTTTGTCTTTTTTTAATTATGGAGTTATAAGTATTAAAACATTAATTACTTTTTGTCTTTTTATTAGTTTGAACTTGAGCTCTGCTAGTGAAGAGTTGTATACTGGTTTTTATCACTTTGTTTCCTTATTGTCATATCTTTCAAGCCTGTATTCATTCTTAACTGAGATATTGGAAGCAATCCAACAGGGTAAATAACTAACTGGCGTAACATTTGTGATGAACACCACGTAAACTGCTTACCTTAAACTTTAGATCTATTGGTGTCCAGTGTTTCTCTGGCTTTCGGTTTTTGGACCGTAGGGTAAATAACTTTTTATAACAGAGAAGTTGTCTGCTTTGATGTTGTTAAGCTCAAAGTTATACAACGGACTATCTGTGCTCTGATTACCTCGCGTACTGAGACCCAATTTTTAGCGTTGTAAGCCTTCAAACTTACTGCTGAACCACTGGAGGGCGAAGTAGTGAGGGAAGGTTGTGGCAATCGGATATTAATTGTTGTCATGGGTAATAGTCTATACGCAAATTTTAGCCTAATTATTAATTACCTAATATTTATTATTATTATTAGATGTTAATTGTTAATTAGTTTTATTCTATTTTTATGGCTGTTGATCTGTCCTCGTATTAAATGATTCCTGTTGTGGCAAAATCCAGGGTTTGATCCTAGGTATTTTTGTTAGTAACGCTGTTATGCTATCTACTCGTCAGAGGTTTTTCTCATTAACTGACTATTTCAATGATTTCAAGAGGTGTATCCACTTTGCTGGGAGATAATCTAGGCCACTAAACATCTAAAACTTTTTTCTGGAATATTTCTTAGATGGTACTATAAGTTGGTTTCTCTTTTTTTTTTTAGTGGCATAGCCTGGCAAATAAAGTTACTGAAGGGTGTCAGCCAAATAATATTTTCTGTGTTGCAAAAAAATTGACAGTTTCGAGAAAACAATCCGGAAATATGTATTATGTCTAGAAATTAATACTTACGAAGACGTTTTGATTCAGTATAAAGTATAAGTTGTATAAGCAAACATTATCTGGGAGAAACTTGAACTTGTTTTTTCATCTATCTTGCTTCATGTAATAAATGCATGTGAACATTAATAATAATATAATTCATGAAAATTATCCACAAAATTTGATGAAACTTTTATAGTAAAATATCAAATATTCCATGGGTTTTAATTTACAGAATGTGCATTATATAGAAGTAATATAGAACATTAATTAAACACAAATACAATCATGTATCTTCAGAAAAAAAAATGTATTTTTTATTTTTAATTAGCGTTGCAGAGTTTGGAGTATAACATGTATGGGATAAATTTCCAAACTAGAGGAAACGTTCAGCAAAGTTTTAGAAAGAAATGATAAATTATTTTGGAGTTATTACTTGTATTTTTGTTTTAATACAAGTTTAAAACTCCAGTTAGCGTATTGGGCTTCAAGATTTAATATTATTGAGCAGTATCGTAGCTAGAATAATACTCCCCCAATGGCACAGCGGTATGTCTGCGGAGTTACAACAATAGAAACCGAGTTTCGATACCCGTGGTGGGTTGAGCACAAATAGCCCATTGTGTAGCTTTGTGCTTAACTTCAAACAAAAGCTAGAATAATAACGAGAAACCAGTTATAGGTGACATTTTGTTAAAATCGATTGATATATCGCAAATCATCAGTCCTAATAGAGGTATGTCGGTTTAATAATTTTTGCATATCACAAATAACAATAATAAACCCTAATGGCTGCGAAAAAAATGTGGATTTTATGTATAACACAGATCGCAGCTGTTTCGAATGAACTGTCTTGTCTTTACAAAAAATAGTTTTGTTTCATTAGAAACATTAGAAATTTATGTGATGAACTTTTCTGTATACAGTGCACAGAATTATCATGAATAATAATTTAAACTGATTATTTGCTTATTTACTCAAATGATAAGCAGGTTAAATGAATAACAACGATACCATAGACAACAATTTTAAAACAAAAATCCATATTCACTATTGACAAGCCAAGTTCTAAAAATAAAAAAAAAATAAAGAAAAGTAATTCATATAGTATAACGAGTACGTGAAAATATCACAGAAGAACAATAACTGACCATAATATTGTTTATACAAGTGCCGTTGATATCTCACAAGATAAAACAAACATTACAAACAGAACAAGAACAGTAAAATGACAGCATAACAGAATGTTTAAAATGACTGGGAGTCATCGCAAAATCTCTGTCGAGGAAAGTCGATTGGTACATTTTTTCAAGACGTTTAATAATTCACGGTGTTCATGAGTTTGGTTTCTTTGTAATTAATAAGTCATAAATGGGTTATGGACGTCAGTGCTTCTCGTTGATAATGTCTCGCCAAAACTCACAGTGAAAGTGATTGTAGATGAATGCAAAATTCGGAGTGAGTGTGTTGAGCTCCTGATAGACTGGCCATCCTTCGCTAAAAGATGGCCACTCGTTCAAGGCAAGTGAGGGATTTCTGAAAAAAAAAAGAAAGAAAAAACAAATCATTAGCTAAAAGTTCATAAAATGGTAACATTAAATGAAATTGAGTGGGGGCTAGATAAAAATATTACCGATAATTACCAAGGAATTGGTCGATAACAAGGATATTTTAATTCTAGTGTTAATTGTTGTTCTGTTTTAGCATTTTGAGTAAGCTGACAATATATAACTGTCTCAGTCAATAATGGCTTAAAGCTGACAATATATAACTGACTCAGTCAGTAATGGCTTAAAGCTGACAATATATAACTGTCTCAGTCAGTAATGGCTTAAAGCTGACAATATATAACTGTCTCAGTCAATAATGGCTTAAAGCTGACAATACATAACTGTCTCAGTCAATAATGGCTTAAAGCTGACAATATATAACTGTCTCAGTTAGTAATGGCTTAAAGCTGACAATATATAACTGTCTCAGTCAGTAATGGCTTAAAGCTAACAATATATAACTGTCTCAGTCAGTAATGGCTTAAAGCTGACAATATATAACTGTCTCAGTCAATAATGGCTTAAAGCTGACAATATATAACTGTCTCAGTCAATAATGGCTTAAAGCTGACAATATATAACTGTCTCAGTCAATAATGATTTAGATATTTATTAATTTATGACTACTTTATGAAAGCAGCCTTTAAAGATGATTGTAATTTGTATATTTCTATTTTATTTTTCTTCTGATCAGCAGTAGCCAGTGTGTTAAGGCATCATTTGAAAGATCAAATTTTTGTTCATAAGTCACTGCATTGGCATTTTCTACTGCAACTATCAACATTTCAGTTGAATAAGGCTTACATTGCTAATACCGTTGTATATCGTTGCAGACCACCATTTATTAGGACATCGGTATAACAATTTCATTCATTATAAACACAAAGTTATATGTTACAACATCAATAATCCACATCAGGTTCAAGTACGTCAGGCCGGGCTAAAACAAATGATGCCGCGTTGTATCCGAACGCCTCTCCTTTCCTCTCTTACATTTGTGTGTTTAGGAAATATATAAATGTATTAATAATTTTATCATTTTTTGAAATAATAGAAATTTCGACATGTGCTAAATTTCTATTCACAGTCTATCTCGTATAATAAGTTTCTTCTCTGATTAACAGAGTTGACGACTTTAGCCTTTGTTCATTATCAATACAAATTCCCTAACCATTAACTTGTTTATTAATTGATACAACCAATCCCAGTCTTCAGAATTTATGAACTGGACACTCTCTAAAACTATACATTTTTACTTCCCGATTTGATAAAGTTATACAACAAGTATTTTAGAAAACCTCAATTAATGAACCATGTTCAAATTATTCTTTGAAAACTGTCACCTTCAAAATAAGAAAGTCGTCCATCCGGACTGAATGAATGGACACTTTATTGTCATATACAAATAGTAACAATAAATCTTTCTAGGAGTCACTACCGTCCGGGCCCCAAATAATGTGAGTTTTTCTGTTTTAGACAACCAATAAAACCTAAATACTATTTTGCGAGATAGGATCATAAGTAATGCTATGCTCAAAAGAAGAAACTATAATTTGTTTTTATGTTACGGCAAAGTAAACCACTTTCCAGTTTATATGTTATTATATGACAAAACCGTAATGAGAGTTATAGTTTATTTATAGTATTTTTGCCCCCCAGTGGCACAGCGGTATGTCTGCGGACTTACAACGCTAGAAACCGGGTTTCGATACCCGTGGTGAGCAGAGCACAGATAGCCCTTGTGTAGCTTTGTGCATAATTATAAACAAACAAACAATTTGTATTTTTTTTTATTTAAGCGCAGAGCTGCACGATTTATTACCTGTGCTATGCCCATCGCGAATGTAAGTGCTATAAGCCCTCAAGCTTAATGCTGTGCCATCGGAAGAAACTTAATGTGTAGTGATGGTAAAGAGAAGACTACGATATTATCGTGTATGCTATACAGACTGAAACATAAGATTTATCAATAAAGAACTAGAAGTGAATTAATGTACTACATTATCTTAACTAAATAGATAAGTTTGTTGAATCTTACCCTTTTTCAGCAAAGGTTGAAAAGTGAGACATTATTCGCAAACTCAGATCCCTCTCAGCAGAGGCATATTCTTGAAGCCCAACCTCTTGGAATGGTAAACCAAATACAAACTCCACTTCGTCCCCTTGGTTAATCAGCTCCAACCGGTGGTATCTTTTTGGTACAAAGTTCAAAAAGTAATAGTAAGCAAGCTTTCCACTCTCACTTAAATATTCTGTAAAATACAAATTTGGGCACATGAATAAGTAGTCTCCTAAGGCATCTCTGAGGGCGTGCAAGTTTGCTCGGGTGTTAGAAGGATCTACATTGCTCATGTAATGGTCCACAATTTTTTGAACTGTATCTGGCTTCTTGTTATAAAGCGCTTTCTGAATTACAGCAATGGCATCATCTCTACTGATTTCTTCTCTAGATTCTGGAAGAAAATTTTCAAGAGCTCTTGAGCCTTCATCCTGGTTTGTTCCAATAAGCAAAACTACGTCATTAAAGTGGCCCTCTTGGGCCAGTTCAATAGGAGATTTCGGAATCATGCTGTTTGGACCGTAAGTTGGAACAAAAGGCATTTCATGGCCTTCAGCTATTATCTCTTCTGTGGCGGATGTTAGTTTTTCAGCTTTCACACCACGAAGGCAGGAAAGAAGTTGACTGAAGTCATCAGAGGTACAGCCTGTCTTCTTAGCCAAAAGTGTTTTTAGCTCATTTGCTTCTTCTAAGTTATGGGAGGAGTGTGGGAACAAAGGACTCATACTCTCCATGATAGCATGGCGAAATAATTCCTTGCTTTCTTCCATCATGAGGTGAAGTCCAACACAAACAGACCCGGAACCTTCTCCAAACAGAGTTATATTTTCTGGATTGCCACCAAATGATACAATATTTTCTTTAACCCAACGAAGTGCAGTCTGCTGGTCCATCAAACCTTGATTCCCTTGAATATCGTCGTTGTTGAGGTGGAGAAACCCCAGTGGACCAAGACGGTAGTTCATAGTGACCACGATAACATCCGTGGCATCAGCTAGAACAGCTCCGTCATAGGCATCAGGTGAACTAGATCCATAGTGAAATTTGCCACCGTGGATGAACACCATCACTGGAATCAGATCTTCAGACTTGGGATTGTCAATACCGAACCCTAATGTGGAATTACGAGGGACGTAGATATTCAGATAAAGACAGTCTTCACTGACAGGTGTTTTTAGCTTCCACAGGTCATGAACCTCTTGATCATGATGTATTTCTGTTTGGTAGCAAGAGTTGGGTTTAGTTTCACCTCCTATTTTTCCTTCCCAACTTTCAATGGGCACTGGTTTGCTAAAACGAAGATCTCCAACAGGTGGTTTTGCATATGGAATTCCCATAAAAACATATACTCCCCCTCCAATGACTAAAGGATGCTCAAAACTTTCAACAACTCCTGTTTTCGTAGCCACTTCAATATTTTCTGCTGAGGCTGACCAGAGGAACAGGTTGAATAGCAAATTTCCAAATATTAGCGTGTTGCCTCGTCGAGACATCATTATAATTAAAAGAGGAATACCTAATAAAGAAAAGAAAAAAAAAAGGGCATGCATGCTAAAAGTAATAATGAACGTTCGGTAGTGTTTATATGTGTATAATTATATCATTGTTGGCATCGTGTATTTATTATTGTCACATACAACGATATCGTAAAATGTCTCATAAGAAACAATCCCGTATATTATAATGTTGTCACTAAATACTAAAGTGAATTAATTCAAGCATTATTTAGATATTTTTAAACCAGGACCTGTTACGTTAAGACTAAAATGACATAAACAGAAAATGTATGTTTCATAATTTATTACATGTCATAAGAATGTAATAGATAATTGATTCTTTTGTATAGTTTTGAATCAAACAAATAAGTATGTCATATGAGCAGATGAACATAGCTAAGCTACACATTTCATTTTAGTTTTGTGTGTACAACACCTGCCTTCAGCTTCTTCCAAGTATAATAGTACAGCGATTAGAACCAATAATAATGATAAACATTGGTACAATTGTTGGAATGTAACCTAACGTCCAGGATATAAAATAATATTCATTTTATGAACATTAAAGTATTCATAAAGATCTTACTCTGAGCAGTAATAATATCTTACCCTGTTGCGTTGCTACAATTCTGTCTGCCAGTGATGTATCTTCACAATCAATCGTTCAGTTTTTACTTTGTACCTTTGCAAGTTGAAGCTAATTCCTTATATACGCTCCGGAATGATTTGTTTTGTCATTATTTCCCTGAATAGAACAGCTTTTCAAGGTCATCCTTTGTTTGACAACTTATTACAGAGAGTATATGTTACATATAAAATAATCATTAAAATAAAATGACAAACACGTTTTGTGGTTGTTGTATTTTCTAGTAGTAGTAAATATTTCATAATACCAAATAACGACCACAATAATTAATAAATCGGAAAATGAAAGTAAATATCCTGGTTCCAAAGATGGACAACACTGTTAAATACAAAAAATAATGTTTAAGTAATTTAAAATGAAGGTCACTTAAAAACTAGTCATGTCTACTATTGGTAAAACCCCAAAACATAGTCTCAAATCAAGGTGACTTGTTAAATGTGCAGGTTGAGATGACAATTCCTGGAAAAACCAGACTACAGCTATTATGGGAAAGATACAAATATATCTCATAATTCCGTAGGAGTAAAGTAAAAAAAAACACATGTGTCCAGTTGTAGAATTCTTTACTTGTTGTTTCATCAAATTCCATCAAATACGCGTGTACATTGCTTCCAGACTAGAAAAAAAAGACTATCGCATCACGATAATACGATCACCGTGACAAGAAAAACTACACTGTTATTATGATTATAATCACTGCTGGAAAGCTTTCAAGGTTGATTGTGTTAAACCTCCAAGTTCTTCCTGAAAATCCCTTATGATAATATAGCCTTATAACGAAAATCAGGTTTTGACACCTGTGGTGGGCACAGCACAGATTACCCATTGAGTAGGTTTGCGCTTAACTACAAACAAACAGATGTTGTTGTGTTTTCCTTACGAAACAGAATTGTTGTTTTATAAGATCCTTTTATTATATATAGGGCCGTTACAAGAAAAACCCATAGCTAAAGTGATTATATCTTGAAAATGATCTGTCCTGACGATGTTTTTTTTTTAGCGCAAAGCTACGTAATGGGCTATCTGCGCTCTGTCCACCACGGAAATGGAATACTAGTGTTGTAAATACCGGGAGAACACTATTTGTCCTGGTATGGCAAACTTTTACTAGACACAAGTTGAGAATCGTAAGTTTTACTGAAGAAAATTTTAGACACGGTACGGCATGTTTTAAAAGCACGTTGTGTTACATACCTAAACCTCAATCGTTTTTCTCGCAGTTTCTCTCTCGTTAACAAATTGACACCACAAGATTAGTGAGTTGAATTGAACGATTGCTAGTGTGCAGGATAATACGAAAATCAATAGACGCTGTCCAGAACAGATCATGCTTGCAATGACTTAATTTAGGGATAGGCTAGGTTTGTTTGTTTGTTTGAATTTATGCACAAAGCTACACAATGGACTATCTGTGCTCTGCCCACCACGGGTATCGAAACCTGATTTCTAGCGTTCTAAGTCCGCAGACATTCCGCTGTGCCACTAGGGGGCGATAGGCTAGGTATGATGATTGAGGTTGGTGCGAACACCTTATGTGAAAAGTTTGGAAGGCCCTGTACCATGTTCCAGTTTTCAATGAATAAATTTCGTAATTTTTGATGTGCCTGTAATGAAACTTAGTATTCCTATTAGAAGTAGTTTTTTAAAAGATAATAAGTTTAAATGTGATTTAAGTATGTTTTATGCTAAAGAATAAATGTATATTCAACTTTTATCAATATAATAAACTTTCATAGTCTTTCAAGATGACTTTGTTGCAACCGAACTATGAAATTTCACTTTGCATGTATTTTTCAGCCACAAACGAAAAACAAAACCATGTGTTTTGTTGTTGTTTTGGTTTACTTAGATAAATTAATAGCTAATAACTTGAAATATAACATTTTATTTTTATAAGAAACTTCGAGATATTACATATATCACAACTAAGCAGATCATCTATTTATTTGTACAAGTAAGGTTAATAACTCAAAATCACACGCATTTAACATTTTAACATTGAACCAGTGTAGGTTAATAACCTAAAATCACAAACATTTAACATTGAACCACAGTAAAGTTCTCTTTGATTTCAAGTCGATCACTGATGCTAATGAATAAGCAAACACAAACTCAACCTTTTTCTTTTGTTTAAATACTTTTTAAAATTAATGCGTTTATTCTTCAGAAACAATTCAATATCGTAAACATCATGTGTGGTTTTTCAAGTCATTTCTATACATATAACATAAATGTACTTAAATAAATACAAATGTAACTCAAAGTTAAATATCGTAAACATCATGTGTGGTTTTTCAAGTCATTTCTATACATATAACATAAATGTACTTAAATAAATACAAATGTAACTCAAAGTTAAATATCGTAAACATCATGTGTGGTTTTTAAAGTAATTACTATATATATATAAAATAAATAAACGTGAGCCAAATACAAATGTAAGTAAAAGCCAAAGCTCAGTTAATGATTTGAAACTAAAAGTGTGGTCACATCTTACATTGGAAAATGTGTAAAAATTATGTAGCTATCACACTTTATTTTAAACATAATAGGTAAATAATTTCGAGCGTAAATAAAAGAAAATAGTTAGTAGTAACCATACGTACTTGTAATCTATTTATCTAGTAGTCTCCCTCTGGTGGCTCAGCAGTAAGCTAAAATTCAGGGTTCGTTTTCCGCGGCGGCCACAGCACAGATAGCCCATCGTACATCTTTACACTTAAACATATACTACCAAAGAGATTCACCTATTAGTATAAAACCTGTCTTTAACATATTTGTTTTTTACACAATAGGCTATCTGTACTGAGTTCACAGTGGGAATCGACTCTCGATGGATCACCGTTATAAGCTCTTAAACTTATTGCTGTATCACCATAGGACTCAATAGTATAAAAATACGTAGCTTAACATACTGAAATAAGGGCTAAGTTTACCATGAGATTTAAAGTCTTGTATAATTATATACATGTATATGCATATGTTCCATTTACAAGCACATGGGACGACCTGTACTCGTTTTTATTATAAACAACGTTAGTATAGCAAATAGTTTTTCAGCAGAAGCCTTTATTTCATCTCTTCAAATATGCCGTTTACAGCAGCCTTAAATTGTTGTTCATGAACATCAGGATGTTGGCTGTTTTATTTTTACTTTCAAATCCTGTATTATTACAGGATCTCTTATCACATTAATATCTAGCCTTGAGGATTTGCTTTAAAGGGCGTGAATGAACGCACAATATTTCTTTGGTTGTTGTAATACTAAGACAACTTGAAGTGAATAAGAAAATTGACACCCAGAACTATGATAAAATAAAGTGTTAAGAGTTCGATTCTTATATATTTTTTTTCACAACAAATAGCTGTAAAAGAAGCTTCTTCATACAACATGCAACACCTGCTAGTAAGCGTCTTAGTAGTCGTTTGTGCGAATGAAGAGGAAATAACCTTTCTTTTTTTCTACGAAATGTTGTAGCAAGTTATAGAAATAGATGAAAATTATTAGTATCAAATAACGAAGGAAAAAACAAAAACTAATTCACAACGGAAAATGTTAAGTTCCATTCTGGTCACATAATACTTACTACTTTATTTTTTAAAAATCACGCTAACCACATCGATTTTATGGAACTGTAACTTCGATATTATGTTGTAGTACATAATTAGGAGAAGGTAGAAAAGGGGATAGTTTAATTTAATAATGTAAAATACACGACGTGATCTAAAAAGTGCCATTAGTGTCATAGTTAAAAAAAACTCATATAAGTGTTAAAAATTAGCTAAAAATTCCAATATTTTCGAGACTTATTTATGGGGGTGATATCATGATCTTCTATTGGCTTATTAAGTTTACAACTGAAGCCTTGTTAATGAAGCCGGAGGATCAAACACTTCGGGGAACTCTGAATTGTCTTCTGTCAAATCAAGGATTAGTGAAGTAATACTCGCAGTGCTCAGATTTCTTCGGAACTCTCTATTAGTCGAATATAACTCGCTTTTGTCGCCTAAGATGGCACCACCTGGTGGCATATCGAAAGTCCAGTAGTTTGGAACATATGTGTTATCAGTGCCATATGAATCAGGAACCAAGGATGCTGGAGGACTGACGGGTACGCAAGATGGTGTCATCAAAGAACTTTCGCACTGATCTACTTCTCTAGTTGCCACCTGAGGAAGATGAGGTAAACCAGAGGTAATATTATGCTTATCCACTTCTATAGAAGACGGTATAGTTGCAACGCTAGCACTTTTTATTTCTTTATTTGCATTATTAAACTTTTCCATTAATTCATTCCTAAGATTCATAGGAAGTTGTTCTTCTGACAATTTCATCTGTAAAGAATTATCTGATATATAAAATGACTGTTGATAAAAGTTTTGGAAACGTTTACCATTGTCGAACACTTGAAGAGTATGCAATCCGTAGTCTAGTTCTATGCCAAAATCATCAACATTGCTTGGGTCCAAATCTATCGATTTTTTTACCGCCTCTGCTTGTGATGGTAATATGTAGTTATTGGTTATTCCCGTTAGCGGTTGTCTAGAAACGCCTGGATGAAAGTTGGATGCTAGAAGCTGTGAAGTACATTCTCGAGTAAAGTTCTTATCATGCTGTGTGAAGGTTTCTGGTGACTGCTGTCCTCTGATAGGTGTGTTTTGTTTGCTACAATCAGCAGTTGTATTCTGTGTACAAGAAATGGGATCTTGTTCGATTCTGTGAATGCGGAGCTGAGGTAGGCGAGGAACCGTCAAGGGGTATGGTCTTCCAGAAGCCTTGAAGGCTTTTCGCCTCATTTTGGCCCTTTTATTTTGGAACCAAGTCTAAAAGTGAAGAATAATAATAAATATGTTATATACTTAGCATCAAAGAAATTTTAGAATACATTGCTAAATCATAAGTAAGGACGTATATCACAAATAATAATATTCTTTCAACTTTTTCTACTTATGTTGTAACAAAACTGTGGCAAACCAAATTACTATAATCT